CCCCCCCCCCAAGCTTAATAAGCATCTCCAGCTCTCTCCTTTCAGCCTAGGAAGGACTGCCTGCCTCCATCAGGTCTCCCAGATCCTAGCAAGGTAGTTCTGGCTGTGGAGAGCGGGCTGAGCCACTTGATAGATTCATGGGCTGGTCAATTCTCTTAAATCTTGTGTTCCTCATTTATAAAATAGGGTCTTACATAGTCACTACTTTGTAGGGTTCTTGTGAGTCTTAACTGAGATAGCACAAATTTAGAAAATCCTAATGGGGGTGATGGTGGCTGGGGGGCTGGCACTTATTAAATACCTAGTCAGGCTTGTGGTTGTTATAATGGCAATATAGTTGTTGTTGGTGGTGGTGGTGGTGGTGGTAAAGATGTTTACTGCTGCCCTGATCCTGTATCCTCTTGTCCTGACAGAGTGAAGACACTTCCACGTGGACACCTGACCATGTGCCTGCCCTGAGCATCGAGGCCCACCAGGCATCTCTGTTGTGGGCAGCAGGGCTCAGCACTTGTCTGAGGACCCCCTGTAGTTGGCAGGCTCCCCCGGCAGTGGGGTCTGGGCCTCGGCCCCACCATGTCGAGCCTCAGCAGTGGCTCCCAGGACACCGGCGGCAGTAGCAGTAGCAACAACACCAATGGCAGCAGCGGCAGTGGCCCAAAGGCAGGAGTGGCCGACAAGAGTGCAGCGGTGGCCACTGCTGCACCGTCCTCAGTGGCGGATGATGCACCACCCCCGGAACGTCGGAACAAAAGCGGCATCATCAGTGAACCCCTCAACAAGAGCCTGCGCCGCTCCCGCCCTCTCTCCCACTATTCTTCCTTTGGGGGCAGCGGGGGCAGTGGCGGTGGCAGCATGATGAGCGGGGAGTCTGCTGAAAAGGCTGCTGCGGCTGCAGCCGCTGCCTCCCTGTTAGCCAACGGGCACGACCTGGCCGCAGCCATGGCTGTGGACAAAAGCAACCCTACCTCAAAGCACAAAAGTGGTGCTGTGGCCAGCCTGCTGAGCAAGGCCGAGCGGGCCACGGAGCTGGCAGCTGAAGGACAGCTGACTCTGCAGCAGTTTGCGCAGTCCACGGAGATGCTGAAGCGCGTGGTGCAGGAGCACCTACCGCTGATGAGCGAGGCGAGCGCGGGCCTCCCTGACATGGAGGCCGTGGCAGGTGCTGAAGCCCTCAATGGCCAGTCCGACTTCCCCTACCTGGGCGCCTTCCCCATCAATCCAGGCCTCTTCATCATGACCCCAGCAGGCGTGTTCCTGGCTGAGAGCGCGCTGCACATGGCGGGCCTGGCCGAGTACCCCATGCAGGGCGAGCTGGCCTCCGCCATCAGCTCAGGCAAGAAGAAGCGGAAACGCTGTGGCATGTGCCCGCCCTGCCGGCGGCGCATCAACTGTGAGCAGTGCAGCAGTTGTAGGAACCGAAAGACTGGCCATCAGATTTGCAAATTCAGAAAATGTGAGGAACTCAAAAAGAAGCCTTCCGCTGCTCTGGAGGTAACGGCGCCTTAGAGGGAGGTGTGTGGGCTCTTGTGTCTGTCTGGCAGTCCAAACCCACCCCCAGCCCCACCTTTCCTGCCTGGGTGAGGGTCTGGGGGATGCCCAGCCAGTCCCTGGGCTCTGGGGTTCTAGACCAGCCTTTGAGACACCAGTTCACTGCCCCCTAAATCAGAGCCACATCCTGACATCCTATTAGGTTGTAGTTTGCAAGGCAAGCATCAAACTGCAGGCAGGGGCTTAGCATTCCTAGCCAGGCCCCCAGCATTCTGAACACCCTCCTGGAGTTCTGGGTCAGTTTTTGAGATTTCCATACACATCCCAAGCTTCCGAATTTCAGACATGTCCTAAAGCTTCCCGTCTGTGACCTAAGATTCTGGGACTCTCCCCTGTCCCATTTGACAGGGTTCTGTCCTGTGGACCCTGTGGCTTTGAAAGGTAGCCCTTTCACTTGTCCCTTCAGAGCCTAGCCTTTTCCCCCAAGGCCACTCAAGGATAGAGCAGCTCCAGTGCTAACAGCCCTGCTCTGAGGCCTGGAAAAATCCTGGGTCTAGGCACCTTGCTGACATATTTGGGGTGCCTTGAGGCCCCAAGATCAGTCTGGTTGTAAAGCTAATGGCCAGGGATCCAATGGGCCTTGAGCTAGGGGATGAGCCTGGGGTGTGGCCAAGGCCTGTCCACTATGGGATTGACTTAAAGAAGGCCAAATGGTTCCCATTGCTTTCTCTCCACCTAATGGCTGGGCCTGTCCCC